CTAAATCTATAACCGTATAGAAGTTCCGTACACACAAACCAGTCTAAAATTTGCAGAACCTGGTTTAAGATGAACCTGGATCTATAGTATCAAATTTACTCGATTTAGGTCAAACGGGTGCATGGAACTTCTGTATACTTTCCCTGCACAGCCCCTGGCCTGAGAACCAAGCCACTGACTGTAGCTGCTCTGTTTACCACCCCTTCCTCCTGCATGGGGCTATGTTTTGCACCCTTCCAGCCCCTTTCCCTGGACCAGCCAGCCTGCTCAACCCCCATCCCACAGATGACTGCAGATGCAGCCATTTTTGTCAGCATTAACTGCTGCTGGAGCTGAGCAAGTAAGTCCCACTGTGGGGGAGGGGAGGGAGGAATGGGTCTGTAGGTTTGCTGGGGGGGATGGGTCAGGGAGCTAAAAGTAGCCTTTGATTTTCCCCCCCCCCTCCCCCCTATGGACCCTGTGAGCTCCCCTGATCCTGTCAGACACTCCCAGACTACAGCAAAATCTTGTGGGTTGTGCCTGTCCCCTTCCCACCCTCAAGCTGTGCCTGCACCCCATTTGGGGTTTTGCACCTCCCCCTCCCCTCTGAAGCATGCCTGTCCCCCAGCCTTCATTGGTCATGCCTCTCCTCATCCCTTGATGGATCCCCAATCCCCTCCAGCCTGCTGGACCCCCAACCCCCTTCTAGCCCCCCATTTTAACTTACCTGATATTGGGCAGCTATTTTGAAACTATTTAACTTCCCCCTAATGCCCCCAAATGTCTGTACTTATCATAGTTTCATAGTTTCATAGTTTTAGGGTCGGAAGGGACCTAATAGATCTTCTAGCCCGACCCCCTGCCAGGGCGGGAGAACAACAAAAGAACCCTAAACAAAAAACGGGACTCAAATGAGTCCAGCCAGGTAGGTATCCAGCCTCTTCTTAAAGATCCCCAGGGTAGGGGCCAGCACCACCTCCCTTGGAAGTTGGTTCCAGCTCCTAGCCGCCCTAACTGTGAAGTAGTTTTTTTGGATGTCCAATCTGTACCTCCTCTCCATCAACTTGTGCCCATTACTCCTTGTTATGCCAGCGGGGGCTAGGGGAAACAGCGTCTCCCCCAAACCCTTCTGGTTCCCCCTAGTGAGTTTATAGACGGTCACCAGGTCCCCCCTCAGCCTTCTCTTGTGGAGGCTGAATAGGTTCAGGTCCCGCAGTCTCTCACTGTAGGGTCTGCCCTGTTGTCCCCGGATCATGCGGGTGGCCCTCCTCTGGACCCTCTCCATGTTGTCCACATCCCTCCTGAAATGGGGCGCACAGAACTGGACACAATACTCCAGCTGCGGCCTGACCAGCGTCGCATAGAGGGGGAGGATCACCTCCCTGGCTCTACTCGAGATGCACCTGTGGATGCACGACAAGGTCCGGTTAGCCCTGCCAACCATGACCTCGCATTGTCGGCCCATGTTCATCTTGGAGTCAATAATGACACCAAGATCCCTTTCCGCCTCCGTGCTCTCAAGTAGGGAGTTCCCCTTAGCCTTGATGCATACACTGACCAGTTATTTTCAGCAGTGTATGGACGCAGCTAGTTGCCCACGGTAGAGCAGAAGTGGTGAACATGAGCACACAGCTGCCGGCAGCAGCCACATTTTTTTGCACCCTCAACAGCCCACATAAATTTGTACCTGGGGCGGTTGTTCCTATTCATTCCCTGTGTTATGCCACCACTTACTGTTAGTGGATTATAAACTTTTACAGAAGAGAAAGCACACTTATTGCAATTAATTAATTAATATGCTGAAGAACACACTAAGAAAAAACAAACACTTGCCTGTGAATGGATGTTTGATTGCTAAAACAAGCTACCGATGTACATCTTTCACAGAACAGACAGGACAGAGACAGTAACAGTCTTTGCTTTTCTGCTTCACAGACTGTACTCCTCATCTGGAATCAGGGCATCTCTACAGTGAAAGTAGTAATCTTGTTTCTTTTCATTCCATAAGCTACTCAACCTCTATGAAAGTGACAAATTTGCATCTGTTATTGGTGGGTGTGTGGGGGTGGCTGTGGGTGGGTGTGTGTGTTTAGGTCAAATAAGTGACCTAGAGGTGAAAAAAATGCCTCTTAAGATTTCCAAACTATTTCCATTATCAACTGAGACAAAATCGATGGCAGCAGATGTGTTGGAAATGTATTTTATTTAAGTAATAAGGATTTGGGCCACATTAGAACCTCATAATGGAAGTTGATACATTTCTCAGCATAAAATAGCGGCAATAAGCAGTAATTTTGGCATAATTATTTATATTATAGTTGCTGGTTTCATTGTTTACAGATGCCCGTTCTCAATTTAATGAAGATAGATATGTTTTACTATCTTTTAAACTATTTGCTTTGCTTTGTTTTCCATTCTTTAGTTTATAATAGCTTGGAAATTTGTAAGGAATTTTTCCCTTTACTGATTTTTTTTTTTTCTTCTAAGTTTAAACGTGTTGATAAAACATGAAGGGAAATTTAATGTTGCTGTTTAAAACAACTTCAGCTTTTTTAGAAACATTTTGGTTGATTTACCAGCATCATAGGTTGGGAAAGAATAATGTGAAATATCTAGAATAGCTTTTGAGTATGTGTGTGTATAGGAATGAGAGGGGAGGTTTCTTTAGAAGGGAAGGGACTTGAAAACATGTTTAAGAAAACCACCGTTTTAAAAAGAAACCTATATCCAACAGCTTGTTAAATCCTTGGAGTTGTTAAAATACACTGCACAAATCTAGAACTCTTGGTTCCAAAATGATATCTTTTATTAGACTAACTGAGAAACTGCAGAAAAATATATATATTTTTTCAATTTTCCAGTTGGTCTAATAAAAGATATTATTTTGGAACCAAGAGTTCTAGATTTTTGCATTTCTTTTTGTTTCAGACCAACATGGCTACCACATACATCCTTAAAATATACTGTACTTTCTCTAGTAACTTGATTTAAAAACAAAAAACAGGCATTTTTAAATGAATAGTTGCTTCTTCTCTTTGGTACCAGTAATGTTTTAAAGGAAGTTGTTTGTCATTGAGAGGTTATCTAAGTAAGATGAAATGTGAATCCTTGTCATTCCTGAGTTGTAATATTACTAATGTGCCTTTAATTAGAGTTGAACGAGTATGTGGTAGTTCAGATTGCTCAATGTCTATTGTCATTGCCTTTCCTAAATATTTAATTAGGAAGTCTTTTGGATTAACGTGTCACCTTGGAGTTTTTGGAGAAGTACAGTGATATGCAGGAATTTTATTATTTTTTGTGTTGTTCTGAATTGTATCCTTTATTTCTATGAACAGTCAAAATAAATTGGATTCCAAGCAAGCAAGCCATAATTATAATTATAAACAATATTTTGCTGTTGGAAAATGTTTGCTTGCATCAGTCAGAATCATAGAGGAGCAGGGCGGGAAGGGACCTCCATAAATCATCTAGGCCAGCTCTCTGCATCAGGCAGGATCATTCCTATCTGAACCATCCAATACAAAGCAGTTATAATTATAAGGTAGTCATCCTGTATAGACACAATGCTATAAAATTGATCTTGGGTATGACACCCATTTTATGTCATGCTTTAGGGAGTTTTCAGAGTATAATTAATGAGTTCTTGATACAGCATACACCTACCACTTGCTTACCCATAGATATGAGAATAATCATATTGATATTAAATTATCGCCTCCCCCAAACTCTTAAAGATTTTTTGTGCTTGTTTTGCATTGTAGATTCCTTTTCATTTGCTGCCTTTGACACTTTTAGGTGCCCTTGAGTAACTTTTTACACTTTTTGCGACAACCAGGAGGGCTGGCAATGATCTAATTTTAAATAAAAACTGAATCTCTTATATGAGTTTAGGATACAAGGCTTCAAATTTTGCAGTCAAATCATGTAAACTGGAAATTTAAACTTGTGTGTATAAAAGGTAAGTATGTGCATAATTGTTTATATGGACAGGGCCCAAGGCACAACCATAATTAGTTCATTCTGAACACTCCAAGAAGAACAAATGAGAAGTGCACTTCTTTGCTTTAGCATGCTATTGAGCTGAAATCTCACATTTCAGTGCACTGGTATTGATTTATTAATTTGATTTTCTGAGGCATATGGTGATGATGACACTGTCTAAGCAATATTTTAAAAAAAATACAATAATTATATACTGGTATTGGATCTTTGCAGTGTGCCCCAAAAGTATGTTTGTAAACTGGCATCATTTATTTTAGTTTAGTCTCATCCAATTTTAACCAAATGGAAATCAATACTGCTTGTGGATATCAGTGACTGGATTGTAGAATTAAGTGAACTGGCATTGTTACAAAGAGCAGCCTAAGAAAAGTTTAGATTAAAATAAACTTGTATCAAGACATTTATTCTGAATTTATCAATTTATATCATTATGTGAATTGTATGTGGCTACCTCCTTTGTTTTCTTTTTCCCAATCTTTATCTATCCTGTATTACACATGTATAAACACAAGCTATTGTTTGATGTGTGCGTATGTGCGCGCATACATGTACGTATGTAAAATGCATGTTTAGATAATGGAATTGCAGAATGTAAAAAGTGTTCCCATTACATTTGACATTTCTTTTTCTTTTTTTAATTTCAGGTGTGTAGATTCCTGTGGTTCTTAATGTCCATCATAATCAATGTATATTATTTGTTTCCCCCCCCAGATATGTGTCACAAAGATGTCTACACGGAATTGCCAAGGAATGGACTCAGTAATCAAACCCCTGGACACAATTCCTGAGGACAAAAAAGTCAGAGTTCAGAGAACACAGAGCAGTTTTGATCCATTTGAGAAACCAACTAATCAAGTAAAGAGAGTTCATTCAGAGAACAATGCGTGTATTAACTTCAAAACTACATCAACAGGGAAAGAATCTCCTAAAGTCAGACGGCATTCTAGTCCCAGCTCTGTAAGTCTTACCCTACCATTATTATCTGTACAAATACCAGTTTCTGATACTAATATACCAAATACTTAAATGAATGACTGTAGAAAACAACACTTTTGAAAGTATTTTTTTCCTGGTATTAAACATACTGCTAAAAACATTGTTTAAAAGAAACCCTAACATTACATTTAATTAGTAATACCGTTTGACACTTTCCAGCTATTTGTTAGTTTCACACACAATTTTCCTGATCATTTTCACTTTTGGGTTTGTGTGTGCTACTACAATGCTGAAACATATAGCTTGTTCTTGTTTTCAGTGGAACTTTAAAATACAACATAGAAACATTTTCTCATAGGTTTAGATTTTATAAGAATTCATTTTAATGAGACCTAAATCTTGAATCAATTTACAGTATTTTATACATTTTAAAATGTGCTTTTATTTTAAATTAAATATAAGTGAAAAAGAATGTTATTTTGCAAAACAACCATGATTCATGTGTGAAGAAAGAATGAGAAGGGGGTTATTTTATCATATTAGTTTCTCTGTTCAGTCAAATGTAATACTTCAAGAGAAGCTAGGTAAATAAAATATCATATCTTTTATGAATCATGCCCAGATAGATGTACCACAGGAGACCTTCACAAATTACTGGAAAATTGTGCTTTCTTTTTTGCTGTAGGAGGATAAATCAATAGTAATGTGACCTTTTGAGAGAGAGAGATTATAAATTGAAGAAGAATGCTAAACATTTTTAAATTTGGGCAGGAATATAATTTAAAAAGGTTGATTGTCTTTCTGCTGTGTCCTCTGGATAAAACAGTGGTTTGACCAAATTCTCACTTTCTAAGAAAAAATATCAGAAATTTATCTTCTGTAGCTGAGCTTTGTTTAACTTGTATACTTAGCAGATAAAAAGTTATGCCTCTAGGGGACTGTTCTTTTAAGGAAGGGTGACATTTTGAAAGGAGCTATCCATAGCAAAATAAATTTGCTTTTCTGTTGAAGTGTCATGTTCTACAGCTACTGCCACAGATGTCTCCTGTATGTTCCAAGTTGGTCAGTAACAAGGTGTTCTTCAGATTGAGCACTTAGCAGCTAAAAAAATCACTACTATATCTATTCTTTGTTTAAAAATTTCAGAGTAGAATAGGGTGATTACTATTTCTTCTTATTCTCCATTCCTTTTTAATAGTATTTTAAGGTGGTTCTGTGCAGGTTTCTCACTGCCTGAACTACATTCAGCATTCTAGCCTGAATGCTTGAAGAGTAATATATACCAGAAATGTAAAATATCTATCAGATAAAGCAAAATGTAAACAATAACCGAATCTCAGCTAAATCTCAGCTTCTCTCATTGAGGACAATTATTCAATTACTACTTCAGCATGGGCACCATTCTGCTATAAGTAACTGCAAAACTAAATATTCTTTTTAGAGCTCTCCAGAAAGGAAGGCATGTGTTGGTGTTTGGGGGAAGGGGAAGGGAAATAGTGGTCATTCCAACTCCAAATGTTAGGTTTGACCTAGAAACCACTACACATAGCCCAAGCAAAAGTCTCTGTTCTGTAACTAATGCTCAATTGCAATGATAAGGAGAAGACAGTCTTAGATAAAGGAGACTTGAAAACAAAAACAGAATTAGTGGAGTAGGGCAAAGAGCTGATTTAAATATTAAGATTCACACCCCTAGGTGGGGAGAAAGTATGCTAATGAAACATACATGTATGGAAATGAGATACATAGCTAAAACACAGGTATAGAGACATGCTCAGTAAAGAACTCCTTGCGTCACTCCCTTATAACCAATTAGCAAACAAGAATGCTTATGAAGGTCCAATACTCCTGTATAAAAGATGCTCATAATTAAGACTCTGTGTGCTTGTTACGTGAAATTATTCCGCTTGCACCTTGTATTGCTAGCAATAAATCTTTATACTTTCACCCCTGGTATCTTTATTGGCTTTTGCATACCGGGCACGATCCCAGACTTGAGCTGGGGCTCAACACAAACACCACTCTAGACTCTGAACACCACTTCAAGGCTATCTCTGTGGGAAAATCACCTTGCTGTTGCTGTGTAGTTTTTAAATAATAACAGTTTAATTTGGCAGTGATCTGTTGGGCCTCTAAGTCCATCTCCCTTCTGATGCAGGATTGTTCTGCGTTCTGACCACTATTTTTTTTAAAAGTCCCAAGCAATAGGGGTTGCACCATTTTTCTGTGGAAGTTATACACCAGTCTAACCAAACACAGTGCTAGAAAACTACCGTAACACCAATCAACATTTTATTTTTCAGGCATTGCTTTTCCCTCTCTACTTTTATACTGCTTATGGCACTGTATATTTGCAACTTTCAAATACTGGAGAGCTTCTGCTATGTGTTCTCCCGCTTTCTCTTAGGTATTACCTAAATGAATTTTTTAAATCACTAACTTTTTGTTGCTAATATTCTTTAAAGTTCTGTCAGTCATCCTTATCTTTTTGTTAATAAAATGACCATAATTAATATACCAGAAACCTTGTAATCATTATTAGGAGTCTACCCAACTCGAAGAGGTAGGCAGCTGATTTTGTGGGCAAATCACTGGGCCAGTTGCCATTTTTGCAGGCTGATCATGGGGCCCACCCCTCACACATCTGATTGCTGGAGAGGGCTGTCTGTCATGCAACCCTGCCCCTTGCTGCTAATTGGTGAAGAGGGCCGGGTCCACATGAGAGGCAGCCCTCTCAGTCAATCATCAGCAAGGGGCGGGGCTGCAGTCATCTTGCCTGCTCTCCTTTGTGCTGGCAGCCCCCCTCCCCCTTTTCCTCTGATGGCTCTGATGGTTTGGGCAGCCAGTATGACTGCTGCCTTCCACTAAGGAACCAGCATTTTATTTTTAGCAAGTTTTTTGTGGGGGCAGATTTCATGGACATTTCCCAATTTTGCAATATCTGTGGAATTGCAATTTGTGTAGGTCCCTAATCCTCCCCTCAGAGTGGGAGTGGCTTTCTTTTTTCTTCTTGCTCTTCTGTTGCATATAATTTGTTCTTCACTGTCAACCTTGGGTCTCATTCATCACTACTGTTTTCCAGGTTTCTCCTGCCCGTTGATTTGAATTTGACATGTTTTTACAACTGTATCAGATGGCCTTTTTTCAAAGTTCTGATGTATTTGTTGTAGATCCCTTTATAGTAGTTATACACACATTTTTTTTTCTCCAGTCAACCTGATTTTTAGCATGTGATCATGTTTCTTAAGCATTGAGACATTTTCTGTGTGTGGTTCCATTTACAGGCTCTTTCTGCTGCCTATTTGTTCAAATTTATGTTCTCTATTTCCTTGTCTAAAAGCAAGTTTAAACAAGGAGCTCTACTTATTTAAAAAATAATATGCTCAGTATTTCACCGCGTCTCTTCATTAATTACATACCTATTCCAATTCAGTGTGTGGGACCATTTCTCTGTTGTGCTTCCTTTCTTAGGTTACATCTAGAAAAGCCCGTGCCCTAACTTTTGATTGAAATTAACTCATTCTCCTTTTCCATTGCTCACATTTGCACTAGCAGACTATTAGCTGGTGCCTCTCACGCTTCCCTATTTACAGTAAAATATATTTTGGTTTCAAACTTTTCAGGAGCCTTTTAATGAAACTGTACTGTTGACTATAAGTTCTTTTAAACTCCAGCGTCTGTTTTTTTGGCCTCTCCTAGGATTCCCATCTCTTTGTTGATTGATTGATTTTTCTGTTGGTTATAGTTTGATTTTAATACTTTCTCCACATATACTTTGCTGGATTAAAGTTTTAACTAGTAAACATACATGTGCTCTTAACCTCACACACACATACACTTCCACTAACTTAATTGGGATTTCCTTATGCTTATGTTTAACTTTTTGCATAGAGACTCGCAGAATCAATCATTGCAAAGGTTTGACATGGGTTTGACTCTCTTGTTACTTAGCACACATTTGTGGTTTAAATCTCTGGGAACTTAACATTCTGTGTTTTGAGTTTGTGGCTGAGTTGATTCAGCTTTCTTTTGGATTTCTTCTAATCATTTTGTTTTTTATATGTTGTATTTTTGTGTAAAGCATACAACTTCATTATGGAATTCTGGCTTGCTGGTTCTGTAAATACTTCTGGCATGTAGATTATACCCATCTAGATTGACATTTCAGATACAAGAAGCACCCTACTAAATGTGTTATGCCCTTTGTCATAATCACTGTAATTTCAGTTTCAGTTCTGGTTCTATGCGTTTCTTTTAAGCCTTCCATTTATTCACAGCTACTCTGACAGATGAATAATAACTTTATCCTTTTTTTTCCCTGTTGTTGTTTCATACCATTTCCTATTTCTGTCTTGCTCAGTATTATTGAATCTGGCCAAAGTATTCTTTCATCCTTTTGCATATTACTGGTTAAAAGCAGCCTAGATCACCTCTTCTAAGAACATAAATAAGAAGTGTCATGCTAGATCAGACCAATCGTCCATCTAGTTTTACGGTGTCCTATTTCAGACAGTGGAATACAGTAGCTCTTCCCAGTCCATCCAGCGTGCTTGCTCCTGGAAGCAGAGGCCTGGGGGACAGCACTGTCTGGGTGACCAGGGCATGAGCCCTGGGCACTGACCATGAGGAGGTCATTGAAATGGAGGTCTGGGGAGAGTGGGGGGAGGGTGGAAGTGCTGGAATGACAGTAGGGGACTGTGCTCACCCAGAAGCTGTTAGATCCAGGTCTGGATTACCTTGGTAGCCTCGCTTCCCCCTCCTCCCTGTCCTCTGCTTCCTGACAACAATTACTGTGTTAGCCTGTTCACAGTCAAAATAAGGCTGTTACAACCAGAATAAGGCTTTACATGCATATCATTGGCACCTCTGAGATGGTTAATGGAGGAGAGGGTGAATAAGGCTGATGTGGGGACATGGGGGAGAGTCTCTACTGTGAGCCTCCAGCCCCTGGGTGTGCCCATGCTTTTGCAGGTAAGATTCTGCTTGTTTGCCCTCAGCACAACCCACTGTCCTCTGTCTTC